AGTTCTGTCTGAAAACTAAAGAGAACAGAAATAGTTACAAAGAGAAATAGCTACGAAGAAAGTCATAATTTCTTTTTCTCTACAACATCACCACAAAAGTGCCATGGATTTCAAGGAAAATAAAGGTTTTTCTGATCATTTAACAATTCCACTGGACAGTAGGTTACACTTCAGTGACCTGTTTTTAAGCATTCGTAATTTCCCAACTAGGAAAAAGAGTAAATAAGCAGAAAATGCTTAACATTATAACCACTGCACTGATTCAAGGCAAGGATCATTGCTATGTGATTTCTACCACAGTCACTATTTTCAGCAGAGGACATTGGGTGTTTTTCCCCTCACTTAAAACCCTACAGTTAATATAGTTTCAAGTTACAAAATTAATTCTATAGTAGTATTTTCAATGAAGCTTAGATGAAATATTGTAGAGCATGTTAAAAGATAACCCTTGCTCATTTTTATCACTTGTTAAATGTAACATTTCTCACCCAAACCTCTTGCACATATTACCAAATTTGGCAGTTCTGTAGTTACATGACACATGGTCTCTAATACGGTTTGCCATAAGGCAAAATATAAACAAACTCCCACAGACTGCTCCAGTAAAAACAAAGAAGAGTCAAGAAGCCCTCAGGTTTTGGGAAAGTGTGTTAACAGGTCAACTGAGTAAGCATCAAGCCAGAAGACTCAGATTATTTCTTTGATTTGCTGTGTCATTTTGAGGAAGACACTTCAATTACTCAAAGCTTCAGTATTCCATCTGGTATTTTCATTGTTCCCTATTAACCCAACCTTTAACACAGTCTTGACAAAATACTAGAAGCAGGACATATTACACAAAATTAACTCTAAAACATTCCATGCAAAATTTGCACGTCAGCTGTCATCAGAATGATAAAACTCATTAAAAGTTTCTGTGGATCAAAATAATGGTTTATTTTGTAATCACCTACACCAACATCATGAAGCAACTGGGATAAATGAGAATATGTCTCAGAGAGTGAGGAGGTGTAACTCGCTACAAACACAGAACATATGAAGTGTTTCAGACACTTACACCTGTAGCAAGAGATCCTTTTGCCATCCTCTCAAAGCCAAGTGCCAGAACACAGTCTGCCAAACCTTAAAATAAAATTTGTGGCCATTTAAAGCACAATGTGATTACAAATGACACAATGTACTAACAACTATTCAATTATAAGATATGTACATAAGCACCTACCAGCCGCCCTTCCTCCTTCCTTCATTTTTGAAAGGGAGTCAAATTAAAGTGGAAATTGTATTGATACAAACATATTGATACTCAGGAATGAGAGATCGCTACAGGATTTGGGTTTATTTTAACCATTTGCCAGCAATTATCTTAGACAAGCAAGCACTTATGTCTCCACTACAAATACTAGAATAATCATACAGCGTTACTCTAGTTTTCACTACAGAAACATCAGCATTTAAGTGCAAGAAAGTATCAAAGTCCATAAAGGAACTGCAGAAACAGAAGGAAACGCTCATCTATCAGTTCAAAGCAGTCTGTCACAAGGCATTGCTCTTCCCCTCCCTTCCAAAAATGCATTAGTCAAACACTTGTGTTAACTTCAAGTTAAAAAAAATAATTTAAAAGCTAGGCTTTTTAGCAGATTTTTCTCTCCTTTTCCTTTGATAGAAATAGAGACTATGTGTTACCCAGCTCCAGAGCAAAACAACTCACCTCCTTCTACTAATTGTCTGGCCATGAACAGAGCAGTGGATCCAGTGGCACAGTTGTTGTTGACATTAACGATGGGAATGCCAGTCAGACCCAAGCCGTGGTAGATGGCCCTCTGTCCACAGGTAGAATCACCTTTAGAGAGAAACACAGCATTAAAGTAAGGTACAAACTCCAACTCCACTCACAAAAAGAAATCCTGCTGTGTATGTGCAATGCTACCACTTAAACTGTAAACTTGAACTTCTGAACTGTCCCCCTTGAGTGTGTCTGCCAGGTATCCACAGCAAAGAACCTCAGAAAAAAGGTGAAACTCAACAGATTTTAAAGACAGAAGTTTGTCCTGCTTCTGTGATAAAGGGGCAGAAAGGACTTAGAGGTGCAGCTTGAAAGCTGCTCTAGGTATCACAGCTGACTGACCCTACTCCAGTTGCCATAATACAGCCATTAAGAGAGAAGCAGGAAGAAAGTAAATGCAAAACTCTCTCTACATAGGTTTTCCAATAATAGAAAGCTTATGGATGGGATTCCCCCATACTTTATCCACACAGATGTGGATAAATTTTATCCACACAGATGCCTGCAACTGCCACGGATGTCACATCCCAATCAAACATTACTTACCATAAACATAACCCACACACGCCTGCTTCACTGCTGAGTAAGGAATCCCAGCATCAGCTAAAGCTGCCTGGCCTAAAAAACAGTTACAAGTTGAAAAAAAAAATTAAAATTGAAGGGAAAAAAAAAAAGCAGCTCTCACAACCATAACAAGCAACCCTAGTTGCTGCAGTATGTAGTAATATGTACAATTCCTGCATTCAAACTAGAAAAAGAGAGTCCTACAAATTCATTGTTATATGATGCAAATGGTTAATATAGTCTTGTACCTTAATACTCACAAGGACAATTTCACACTGTTTTGAGTTCTGAACAAGTTTCTTTTTCAGCAAATTTCATCCAATCGTGTTCCTGCACAAAGGTTGTTCATCCCAATGAAAGTATATTTTGAATACTATAACTAAATATTAAATTATTTAAGGTCCCAATCCATTTTTAAGCCATCCTGCTGACTTCAGCATTGGAGACAGCGAGTTGGACAGGCCATTTATGGATTTTTTGAGAGTGGTCTTTTCTTTTTATATGTATCTACTTACTGAACAGCAGTTGTTCCTTCATATATATAATAAAAATATTAACTGTAAGACTTAAAATAAGCATCAGCAATCAAACAAAATGCTTTATTATTAAATTACCTGCTTCCTTAGCCATTTCAGGATAATCAGCACTATTCTCATTAGGCTTTGAAAACTGACAAGAGGAAACAAAACAAAAACAAAAAACAAATCACAGTGAGATTTAATACCTTTTTTGCTCAAACTGGTATATTTAAAAGCTTTGTATTTAATTTGGAAGTCAGCTTTAAATAATGCAAACAGTATAATTTAATTGATCCAAAAGTGTGTGCACAAAACCTTTACAATTTCCAAGTGCTACTGCCAAATCCAGATAAAGTAGGGGCACTTTATGGAAGCTGAGGGCCATTTTTGCTCAGTCTTAAAGAAGATCCATGGCTGTGGATATGGACAATAACCCTGTGCAAAGCCTGTAGGTGGGACAGAGAAGAACTGTCATTGTCACTGATTCATCATAATATATGATATCATAATCTTCACTAAGACTTTGATAAATACTTCCCTTCCCCTTTATTTTGTTCTACTCCTATTTGTAACAAGAAAATGCTTGCTTTTTGTACAGAATTTATCATACCTCACCCCTCAGCACTGGAGTAGAGTTGGCATTTCTATTTTCTTTGCAGTGATTCATTAGAGTCCACCACAAACACATGTGCTTTGCGTTTTTACATCACTAACAAAAAGTGTGGCTGCTAAAAAAAAAGTCTTCATTCTACAAATTATCTGACATTCCCTGTGAGTGTACAAAAGTTAATTTTCTGCCTCCTTGTGCTTTCCTCCCCAACTCCAGTGTTTTGCAACACTGCTGTACTTTCTGTAGTGCCTCCTTCCATTAATTTAGTCTGAGAACCTTCATACTGAAGGTCATAAGAAAAATCAGTCAGTGATTTTGTAAAAGTCTGTTCCTTTAGCTTTTGCTCCTCTTTGAAAATCATCAAATCATTTAGGTTGGAAAAGACCTTTAAGATCAAGTCCCACCATTACCCCAGAACTGCCAAATCCACCACTAAATGATGGCCTCAGGTGACTCCACCACTGCCCTGGGCTGCCTCTTCCTGGGCTTGGTAATTTTTACGGGTGAAGAAATTTTACTTAATCCTAATCCTACTCCTAAGCCTCTCCTGTGGAAACTTGAAGCCATTTCCTTTTGCCCTGTCACTTGTTACTGGGGACAAGCGCCCCACACGCACCTGCCTGCAACCCGCTCTCAGGGAGCTGTGGAGGAAACTGTGCTGGCCGCTGAGTGACCGGGTACAGAACTGCCCTGAGCCCCTCGGGCAAGGCCAAGCCGCGGGCCAGCGGCTGCGGTGACACTCTGGGGACACTGTGCCCACTGCAGGTCTGTGGTATCGACCCGCCCTGCGGGTTCACCACGTTCCCCTTGGCCGCGCTCCGGCCTCCCCCTCACGCCGGGCGCGGGCGGACTTTGCGCGGCGCCGCTGCCTCCCGGGCCGGCACCGCACGGCTCTGCCCCGCCAGGGCCCGCTGAGGCGGCGCCGGGCGCGGTGAGGGGCTTCACCCCACCGGGGAGGGAGGGAGCGGACGACTCCCCCTGCGTCCCCTCAGCGCACACAAGGGACACCCGCCGAGCCCAGCCTGGCCCGGGCCGTTCCCCCTCACACACGCGGTGTCGGGGAGGGCGGGGGGCGGTACCTTGGTCATCCCGACGCCCACCACGAACACCCGGCGCTGCATGATGGCAGTGTGACCTCCTCCTGCTCCTGCTCCTCCTTGTCCTGCCGCTGTCGCCGCGACCCGCGGGCCCTCAGCGACACCGAGGGACGGGAAGAGCGACGGAGGCGGGCCAGCACCGCCACGCCCCTTAAAGGAGCGGAGGACCCGGTGCGGCCCCGGACGGGTTGAACCCGTCCATAGCACAGCCATGGCCATCCCTACAGCCATCCTGGCCTATTCCCCCGAATCGCCCTATCTTGTTGACTCATCAGACGTTTTTCCAAAGTGGAGCTGGAATGACGCAAGTCTCTTCGTGTCCAGAGAAAGGCAACGAAGCTGGGGAAGGGTCTGCAGCGCGTGTTCTATGAGGAGCGGCTGAGGGAGCTGGGGGAGCTCAGCCTGGAGAAAAGGAGGCTCAGGAGGGACCTTCTCTCTCCCTACAACTCCCTGACAGGAGGGTGGAGCCAGGTGTGGGTCGGTCTCTTCTCCCTTGTAACAAGCAATAAGACGGGAGGACATAGTCTTAAGCTGTGCCAGGGGAGGTTTAGGTTGGACATCAGGAAGAATTTCTTCCCAGAAAGGGTGATTAGACATTGGAGTGGGCTGCCCAGGGAGGTGGTGGAGTCACCGTCCCTGGAGGTGTTTAAGGGAAGACTGGACATGGTACTCAGTGATGATTCGTGATGGACTCGATGATCCCAGAGATCTTTTGCAATCCAATTGATTCTGTGATTCTTTTCCTTCAGAGATATCTTCAGGTCCGTCACTTGAAGGGATCATCCTCTTTTCCTGAAATGCTGGATGGGTTCACGGTGAAAACTGAACGTCTGACCTTCATCAACCCACTCTTCCAAGAGTCCTTCCCCTTCCCTCTCGGTGCCATCCTTGAGGATCTCCACGGCTCCCTCACGGGACAGAAAGGAGGTCACCTCTTGCCTTCCACAGATATCCAGGCGGCATCTACCTTGTTTTCCACCGCACGGGTCCTCACTTGTCAGTAACCCTTCCGCTCCAGCGGGCTGTCAGTGTGTCACTGACTCCTCTAGGTCCTCCTTAAAGGCGGCGCGGCCCGTCCCGTGCCCCGCGACCCCGCGGCCCCAGAGCGGCCATGCTGCGGCTGGGCCGGGCCGTGCCCGCCGCGCTGCGCGGGGCCCGCCGAGGGACCCCCGCGGCCCAACCGCGCCGGGGCGCGGAGGTGCTGGTGGGCTCGGCCGGCGGCGACAGCGGCGGTGAGTGCCCGGGGACCGGCGCGGTGACCCGGTGCTGCAGGGAGGGCGCAGGCTGAAGCCAGGTCGTCCGTCGTATCTTAGCTTTCAGTTATGTCTTGATACTTGTTTCCGAGAACGCTCCTGCCAAATGAACGGCTAGATGCATATTCTTAAGTTATGCGTGCAGGAGAGCTCAACACAGGAAGTTCTGGTTTGCATACCTTAGATTTTTCTGATATCAGCAATGTACAGCGCTAAAGGTAGGACAGGACCTGGGCATGTCTGTGCACATTTATGCATGAGAGCCAGTAAACAGTTTGAGTTTTGGTTCAGATTGCCAATGGATTTACTTTTTGTGTAACTATTGCAAGAGCTCCTAAACACCTCTTGGTAGTTTTGCTAGTTACATACCCGTGAACAGTTCCCACAGCTGTGTCTTTTGCTGGTGCTGCTGTCACCTGTGTCTGGTTCAGTAGCTGGCCCCTGGCACAGACAAAGGAATACACACGTGCAAAGTACAGCTGTGCACCTACAGCAGCAGCAACAGCATCTTAGAACATGCGTGCCTGGGAAGTGAGCAGAAGTGCAGCCAAGGAAAGGGGATATTTTTTTCTTTCCAAAGCACACAGAAGCCATTGGATAATAATTTACAAGTCACAAGTGCAAGGGAGAAGTAGATACATATTTTGGCCTTATTTTTCTGCCTGGACTTAGGAACTTTTAGTGGAGTCTTTTCCACCGATGAGCTTATTAAGTTTAAATAAAATGGAGCTGCAATTTCCGAGCAGTTCTGGAACATGAACTGAGAGTGACCAGTCTGTGCTGTTCTCATGCCAACAGCAATCCCAAGAGAATTTTCTTCATTAAAGAAATATACTTTAACGTAGTAAGACTGTACAATAAAAACTAAATTAAGTAACATTCAAAAGAGAAATCTAAGATGGATCATTTGGGTTTTGGTTTGTTGGTTTTTTCCCCCGTTTCTGCAGTGATTCTAAGACATATGTTCTTGGATGTTGTGTTGATTTTTCTAAGTCTTATAGTATTTACAGTGCTGCTGAATTTCACAGTTTTTCCGCATAACTGGGTTTTGTAGACATGGTGTGCCACCTCTACTTTTCAAATAACTGATTGGTTTAGAAAATACTTCACATGCATTTTCAGGGAAGAGAAGATGCAGCACATGCAGATATTGTTCCCAGTTGAATTACTGTGTCAGAGAACTAAATGAAGTATAACTGAAATTGTCTCCTATTACCAAGGTATTGCTGAAATCCTAATGAACCGACCCCACGCGAGAAATTCACTGGGAAAAGTATTTGTAAACGAAGTGAGTATGGACCTGGCCTGTAAGTGTGTTTGGAATTGTGATCAATAACCCACTGCAGTAAGAATAGTTGTAGGAAATGTAAAACAAAATCTTATCCCTTGCTGAAGGTCAGTGGGAGATGGCACCAGGGCAAGGCAGGTTAGCCTGGAGAAAAAGGGATTGTGATAGTTACTGCAGTATCTCAGATGTGGACTGGACAGAGATACTGGAGTTATTGAAGTTAGCTAATTTAATTTAATTTAACTCAGATGCAAGTTAATGTCCTCACTTGTGTAATTACAACAAAAACATACTCATTGTCACACCTTAGCAGGTGATCTGTTCAAGGATACTACATCCTAGAGAAAGTCCAGCTCATGCCTTGACAGGAAGGGGAATGAGTTTAAGGTACAGCAAAGGTTCATCTCTGAGTGGAAGGAAAAAAGAGATGGGGAAACACATCATTCTGAGGCTGTCACGGAAAGATCCTGCTGGTTCCACTTACATGATTTCCAGAAATATCCTGGCACCTGCAGGGCAAAAAGAAAACCCTTGTATCATATATTATTAGGAGCTTGCTCTAATTTATGCCTGAAGTTTTTCCCCCCTTGTCTGCCCTCCCTCCCTCGTAGCTGTTCAGTGCCCTGGAGCAGCTCCGCTTCGATGAGAAGGTGCGTGTGGTGGTGTTCAAGAGCCAGGTGAAAGGTGTGTTTTGTGCAGGTGAGTAACAAAGGCTCTGCAAACTGTGGTCAAAAAACATGATGGCTCTTGGGACTGTGATCAGATCAAGCAGAAAATGTGTGCTAAAAGAAAAATAGGCAATTTTTTGTGTGGCAAATAACAACCACATTGTTCTCTCAGCTGTCTGTCTCTTGGCTTCCATGATGAAGATGTGTGTGACACAGTGAGCCACACAGGCTGCATGGTGCCACTGTTTGTTTTCCATTTCTTCAAGCACAGGTGCTCTGGTATTGGAGTTCTTGTTTCCAGTTTTATGGATTGTCATCCTTACATACAGTGGTTGGTGTTCCTCTGTGGAATCTGTGGATAGGGCACAGAGGAGCACCCCCCATTGCTGCAGCCCAAGTGTCCACACTGACCTCCTCTGACCTTACTTAACCTCTACAGAATGCTGTAGTTCAAAACTTCTGAAATGAAATGGTCTGTCCTCTAAGAGGGACAGGAGGGAACACAGTTTGGATGTCTTTTCCTGGATTCTAACCTTTCTCTCCGTTATTTAGGAGCAGACTTAAAGGAACGTGCAAAGATGGATGATGCAGAAGTTGGACTGTTTGTTAGAAGGCTGAGAAATCTCATGGATGAAATAGGTAAAGGATTATTTCAGTTGGAAAAGTTATCCCAGACTACCTGTAGTGAAACATGCTGTAGGAGGGGACAACCAGCAGGTTATCCATGTAGGAGTTGCTTCCCAAATGACTCCAGCTTATGCTTGAAACAAAAATCTGGTAAAATATTAACTCTCCTGCTGCCACTCCCAGGACAAGATGCATTTCAGTCCTGCCTTACCCACAACAGGAGCAGTGCACACACATGGGTGTAATAAATAAAATACCTGCTATGGCAAAGCATTTATATCCAGTTCTGTGGAATTCTAGGGAGGCAGTGCTAGACAACATGAGCTGTGCTGGTTGTCTCACTTCCAGTACATGCTCTGAAACTCTCATGATATGGCAATGCCCTAACAACATGGATTTGAATCTCTGAATGGATTTGCTAAATGGATTTGTGGAATGTTTGGGTTTGTATCTACAACTCCTCCACTCCCTCTTCTTTTTTTCTTTTTCTTTTCTTTTTTTCCGAAAGGAATATGGACTCATGCAATTGATTTTCTTCCCCTATTTATGAATTATTCTGCTCTTACTAGAGAGAAAAAACAAAGTGAAAGCTGACTAAAATACCAATCAGAGTTGCAGTAATTAAAAACCCCACAGAAGCAGTCAGGGAGGGGTGGTTACAGCACAGAAGTAGCACACGTCTGAAGTTTGCATCCAGCTCCCAAAATATTTGGAAGGGTATCAAGCAGATAATCTCCAGATACATCACGTTGCTCAACTGTGAGGTAACAACAGTGTTTACCAAGTTCAGGAGCCTTGGCTGACAAAAACACCAGAAAAACTGATCCTCGTGACAGTGACTTGGGATGGCATCTTTGCTCTGACTGTTGAACTGCACCAGCTGGACATTGATGTGATCAGTTTGCAAGGACACAGTTCACCCTGTTTTGTGTTGCAGTAGAAAATGAGTTCTTGGGCAATTTTGGACTAAAAGCTTTAGAGTTGAAGGATTCAAATTCCAGAAGAGAACTTCTGGAACACAAGTGTGTAACCTGTGCTGTGTTCTGCAGCTGCCCTGCCTGTGCCCACGATCGCTGCCATCGATGGCTACGCGCTGGGAGGGGGACTAGAACTGGCCTTGGCCTGTGACCTTCGAGTGGCAGGTTGGTGTTGCTCCATGTAGGAATCGTCCTGCAATCAGTGACTATATTTTAAAGAGAACTTACATGCTTGAGAATGGACTGTTAATGGAATCCAGAAGCTTGAGAGGGACTTAAAACAGTTCAGGAAATGAGGAAGCATTTGTTCAGAAATTGTGACATTTCGTTACTACTGGAAAAGCAGTTTCCATGCTTAAAAAGTAAAGCCTATTTTTAGGTAAGATTAGGATTCCTTTAGAAAACTTTATTAGTAGAATTAAACGGTTATTGGAATGTAATTCTGGATCAGCACTCTGGCTATATCTAACCTTCCCAATTTAAATCAGTTTGGACTGGAAGATTTCCTTTTTCTGTTTCTGTGCTTCCATCACATTTTCATTTTCCATTACATTTTATCTAGTATGGACACAAGATTCATTGTTCTAGATAAAACTGCTACATTGGGCTAAGCAGCCATACCACACATCCCCCATGGCACTTGAGATGGACAGTGGTGAAACACTGTAGTACTCACTTTCTGGCTACTTGGAGAAATGGAGTTCCAGTTCAGTATTGCCAGTTTGTAGTTTTATCAATCAGTTCAGTTATACAAATCAAAAAGTAACTAACCCTGCATTTATTTTTTTAATAGCTTCATCAGCTAAAATGGGCCTTATTGAGACCACACGAGGACTTCTTCCTGGAGCAGGTGACCTGCACTCAATCTTCAGTCACACTTTCTCAGCTGTACAGTAAATATTTTGCCATTAGAGCACTTTAAGTGTTTTGGATGTAAATTAGAAGTAGCATCTTACAGTGATGCAGGAGATCTGTGAATCAAGAGTTCTGTCCCAAACCCTGTCTCTGACTTGCTCTGAATTTAGGAAAGTCCCTTTACACCTTTTCTTGTTTATCGAAATACTCAAAAGGGATGCTGAAGCTTTTCAGGTGCCTTTAAAAATGTTGACATAATCAGCTAGTGGTTATACGATGCCTTTATTTTTTAAACCTCCTGGTTTCATAAGGAGCCAAAATACTAGTGGGGCATTTCTCAGAAATGAGAAAAGGTGTTTTCACTGTTATCCTAAGGTGGAACCCAGCGCCTGCCCAGATGTGTTGGAATAGGTCTTGCAAAGGAACTCATTTTCACTGGCAGACAGATTGATGGACAACAGGCCTTCTCCATGGGCTTGGTAAATCACTCAGTGCCACAGAACAGCGAGGGAGATGCAGCTTACCAGAGAGCACTAGCTTTGGCTAAAGAAATCCTTCCCCAGGTAAGTGTGGTGTTCATGTGGGCAACGTAAAGACAGCAAACAACAACTGAAATTCCTTCCTGTGAAATACTGAAGTCTTGGTTCCTCACGTTAAAGTCTCTTAACTGTCCTTTCTGAATGCAATTTCTGTAGGAACAAGCATTAACATCCAGCTGATTAACCTACAGGACAGTTTTACCCCCAGCTGCAGTCATGCAGCCCTGCAGGACACATTGAAACCTTTCATCATGTACATATGTGAACTACAGAAAACACCAATTTTTTAATTTTTTTAAAAATACTTACTAACTTGCTGCAAATTTTTGTAGACTAGAAGGTCATTTGGAGCTAGGACAATGACATAACAATTCCTCTATTATGAATGAATGTGGCTTTAATTATTTAAATGTTTGTTGTAGTTTGGTTTCTGTTTGTTTTTTAATAAAGGCTCCATTTGCTGTGAAAATGGGAAAACTGGCAATAAACAGAGGAATGGAGGTAATAAATTTTTTTTTATAAATATCGAGGTGAATGAAGCAAACGAGCAGCTCTTACAAATTACTACAGTAAAAATGTTCAGAACAGATGAGTTATAATCCATGTTTAGACCAGGCATTTAAAGCCATTGCAGAGGTTTTAAAGATTTTCTTTAAAGATAAAATTAATAGGGCAGAATTTCTCTTCTAGTCACTAACACTGCAGTTCTAATACAGGAGTGAAGGTCACTCTGTACTACAAGTGAATGTTTATTGATTTGAGAACTATGAAGAGCTTTGAGGGCTGTACTTCAGACAAATCTCACCCTTCCCTCTCATCCCCAGGTCGACATTGCATCAGGGATGGCTATTGAGGGGATGTGCTATGCCCAGGTAGGTCACCTTCAGAATTCATTCCTGAAAGGAACAACTGTATTTTAATTATAGGATGAGCTTTACAAGTGGTTTTGGTTTTGACAAATTAAAAATGATTCCTCCTGTGAGGAATCTTCTTTGTGCCAAGTTTTGAGAGCACGCACCTGTCTTAGCTAATGAAACAATACAGTACATTATTTTATTACAATATAATGTGCCTCTCAGTGTATTTTAAGATGGTAAAGCATTAAGTTTAGGGAAAACTGTTTTCCTATGTAGTTCTACGGTCTTTGTCTGAGATGCTTTGCTTGTGAGTTACTCTAGAACCCAGTCTCTATTTTCCTAATGGCAAAATGTGGAAGTTGGGACTTAAAGTATTGAAAGAAAAGCAACCTTAGTTTTACACCACTACTGCCAAATTAGCCAGGACTTAAAACCACATCTACTTGTCGATGGAAAACATACCATTTGCTTTGCTTTTCTTTTTTATATAGAATATTCCCACAAGAGACCGTCAGGAAGGGATGGCTGCCTTCAGGGAGAAACGACCACCGCGCTTTATCGGCAAATAACACTTTCTAGCTTCCCCTTGATTTTTGGAAAGTAAAGTAGGACTGAAGAGCACTCACTGATTTCTTGGGGATAATTTTTATGACACCATTCTGTGCACTTAACCCCTTGCCTTGGACTGCATTTCTGAATACTCCACTGGATCATTTTTCTGTACGAATCTTCCAATAAAGATTTAACTTTGTACACCTGATCCTTAAAGCACGTACATCTTGAGCCAGTGTTGCTCTCACACAGATGGCAAGTAAGGAATATGGAGAAGCTTTGGCTCACCATAAAGAAATTAAAAAAAAAAAAGGCAGAAAACATGCTGCACCTAAACACTGTTAGGAAAAACAAACACCGAAGAGAAAGACAACTTAGAAAGTGCTTACTTCCCTAGACCGGAGATTTCAAGCAAAAGTAAATTAGGAAGCAAGTGTGGTTTTAGTAAACACTTTATAGGTTATCAAAATATACTTACTAAGTATGGCTTACCACATTGGAACTGGCTGTCACTTCATGCTATGATTGTCTCAAAGCAAACCACAGTTTCACTTGTGCCAGAAGTTACCCAAACAATTCTGTGGGTGAGGTCACCTTAACAAATTACACACCTGCAAGTTTTCTATGTAAAGATCTGAAAAGATAAAGCAGAGTCAGGATCTTCAGCCTTCACAAAAGATGCTGGAGGTGGGATACGAGAGTTTAAAAGTTGCTTCCAGAATTATTGTACCCTGGCAGAAACTCCTGAAGCTGCACAGGAGTGTGAAGAGACCTTTCTGTAAGTGGCACATACAAGTAAATTTAGTGGATTGTAGTAATTTATATTTTTCAGCTTGAAAGAATTCTGCTCACAGTTTGCCTGAAGTCTGTGGGAGCAAAAGAAAAAGGGTATGAAAAATCATTCAGAATCTCTCTGCTTGCTGGTTGCAGAACTTCATGAAGTGACACGTCTTCCAGACCTGTGGCCTGATGCCATTATCACCTGCATTTTGTGCTGCAGGGAGTAGTACTTTTTTTTCTGCACAGTTTCAGTTAAGATGCTTTTCAGCAAGTTCTCCTATTATTAGGAAAAAACAGTACTGTAAGGAGAGTTGTCATCTTTATTTTAAAATCTTATAGCAATTGATTTATATTTATTCTATTAACACCAATTTTGACAAGTTTTGTGTTCCACTTCATGTAATGGAAACTCTATACAAGTCCTATAGCAGACATCTCAGAAGGGTGGGGGGTAAAAGCTTGTTTTTAATTTTTAAACCACCTTCATAATTCAAAGCTACAGCCAGTTGAATTTCTGTCTGAATTGAGAAAACTGTACATAGCCAGATACACACATGAAATTATAGCCAAATTATACTTTTGTACAAAAAACAATGAGAAAACACTGATTAAATTACTGGATGAGCACCTTTTGAAGTTGCTGAAATACACAATGTTATTAAAGATTAGAGGTGATATTTTTATTTGAAGGATGGGAGCTGGGAGAAGGAAGGAGTTAAAAATAGTAAAATATGGTCATCATGAAGGAGCCATCCCTGCTCATGAGCTACCAAACCTAAGTTTTCTTTTTAAACTCAGTTCCCAAGTATTTACAGAAGTAGCTCTGAATATCAATCAGTGGCCATGGAAATACAGAGACTAAGCAGATAAACAAAAACAATACCTGAAATTAAATTGAATTTGAATGGACATGCAGTTTGCTTCCATCACTTGCATTGTATCAGGCATCTGCTGTGCAATATGTTTCATTGGACACATCATTTGTAACCCATAGGTAACCAAGAAAGGAACAAGTTGTTACAATTAGCATCTTCATGTAAAATTTCACACTCCACAAGACAATGCCATTGACACAGGGTTTACATAGAACACTGGGTGTATTTTACACTCACTGCCATGACTTGGAAATATAATTCACTGCACAATACTGACTGAATATTTACAGAAAACGAGAGCAATCATTAGTCTCTTATAAATAAGGTGACCAAATATCCTGGGCCTCTGATGAGTACATGCAATCCCCTTCATGATGAAGTCAAGTCAGTATTTTGCTCTAATGAGCCTTCTCCTTTCCCTATTCCCAAGTATTCTAAAAACAAAAGGTATCACACACAACTAAAAGTAGTCACACAACAACAAAACTCCCTTCTTGTTATAAAGTTTAAAATCTCAAACTTAGTTCATCCTTTTAGTACTGTTTCATTTTAGTCCTGTTTCTACTGCTTTACTTGAGTGGGTTTCCCCTTTCCCTGAACATGATGTGGTCCCCACCTTGCTAAGAGCAGGGAGGACTCTGGAGAAATGAACTGCAAAAAGGCAGTGTTCCAGCAGTAAGGAAAACAAAAGAACATGGCTTGGAGGCAAAAGGAAAAGGAAGCTGAAGCCCTCATTTGTGTCTAGAAGGGTTATGAGACAATGGACATTTTGGTCGCCTTAGTTACAAGTCTCACTGTAACCTGCATGCACGGACTTGTGGTTTAGTCTGTAGGAGTGTTGGATCTCACAACCACACACAGTTCTATTCAAACACCAAACTGGTGAACAGTGTTATGAAGAGCAATCACAGGGATGGAATAACTTTTTCTCCCAGGAGTCACAAAACAGGATATTCCTTCAAGTCTTGTTTTCAGATGTGCATATTGATCTGTACAAGTCCCATCTCCTGGCAGGCAGCACTAACCCCACCTTATGACCAGCTCAAGCCTGACCCTTGACAAGTCACACACGTGGTTGCCATCAAAGCTGACGTTCAGCAAAGGTTTCCACACATGGTTTTGGGTACCACAGTTACTGGCAAATCACTTTAATGGTGACCAATATATTACAAATTACTCCAACTACACACACATCAGAAGGGATTATTACAGAGACAATACTTTACACTCCTCTACCTGCAGCTTTCAGTTTGGTTTGCTCTGTTGCTGTTTCCTACACGGTGGGGGTCTCCCGTGACGCATAATGTGTTTTTCTAAACTGTCCAGGATGGCAATGGCAATCCTTTGGACATGGGGATCAGTCTGGACGTTTTCCTTGATGTTGTACAAATGCTGTAAACCACCTTCTTCAATTAACATGCTGCAGTATCTGGCAGCTGTAACGAGATTATAGAAAGGGAATTAAAAACAGAATTATCTAGGGTAAAGGTAGCAGATACTGTAAACACTGATTCAAATCCATTTTTGTCTCCAGGCAACATTTAGGACACTCCCTAAAGTGTCCACAGAAGTGCACTGGTACTTAAGCAAGTGACAACACAACAAGAGTTATTTGGACAGAACTCAGATTGTAATGGGGTCTGTTACCAAGCCTGTCTCAACTGACTGGAAAGTGCCCTGTAATGTGCACAGGATTCTCTCTTTCCCCCACCTCCTCTGCAGGCATTTTAAGTGCACACATACAAACTATAAGAAATGGGAATAAGAAATAGTGTAGTGTCTATGAGTATCCAGGTAAAAGTAGTACCTTTGCCAAAAACCTCAGTACAGAACAGTTACCAAAAAATGGTCTCAGATATACCACACCATTTGTACAGGCTTGTGGAATGAATACTAACTAGTTCCTTCAAATACACTTTGCCAAATAGTATTGATGGTGGCCTTTAACTAGCAACAAGTTGCTACAAATGCCTTTCCAGGGTTTCTTCCATTTTCACTGTTGATTTCAAAAAGTTGAAATTGCACCTCCAGCAGCTCTGGTGTCACTGAGAGCAGGGAAGAACTATAAAAAGAGCTGTGTGGTGAATGTAATGTGCAGGCTCCAGGGGTTGTTATGGAAAGGTCAGGATGACTGTAATGCAATCCACAGGCCTCAGCCAGGCCCAACTTCCCCATTCATCTCCATGATGCAACACCAGAGTTAAGTGCTGACGTTCAGCATTTCACTGGGGATCACATTTACTGCAGTGTTACTAATATTTTAGTGAAGTTAGCTCATTGAGGGGAATATGATATAGGCAAACAGCAAAAGGAGAAAAAATAAACAAGAAAAAATTAAAAAAACCACATTAATTCCAGATTACTTCCCAGCCTCATCTCTAAGAGCGGGTCAAAATAAAACGCATCTCCTCTCCAGGAGAAAAAGCCTCCTTGGAGCCAAGCACCAACAGCTGAAGATTTTCCCTCAAAATAAATCTACATATTTCAGAATTAAACACATTTTCCCTCAGAGTAGGTTATTACATTTGCTACCAAACGTTTGGTTTCTCTGCAACTTTGTGCAGAAGCTTCTGGCATCAACTACCATCGGAACTAAACTTCAGGAACTGCCTTGATCTCAAATCAGGAGTATGCCAATACAAACCCCTGTGGCATGTTGAAAGCTCAGAGGTTAGGGCAGCACAAAAGAAATGCTACAAATAAATAGAACAAATAGGACAGTACCAAGTTAACAGGACTAAAGGACAGAGAGAAATGACAGGGTCTTCATCAAAATCTTTTATCTAGAGTCTGACCAGTAAAACAGCTCTGTCAGAACAGTCCTACTTCAACATGAAGAGCCCTCTCAGATTTCTGGGCAGCACCCTAGGAGCAGTAGCTCATTATATATAAAGAGCAGCAAACAGTATTCTGTGTGCAGTTATATATTTTGCCATCTTATTGGTTAGTCCTGAATAGATGCCTTATCACTGCAGAAATAGTGATTTATGCGACAGCGATAAACAAGCCTAGATATATTGCTGTCAAGAAGATTAGAAACTGGCACAGAAAACACTTTTAATACTTTAGAGGAAAGCTGCTTTATATATACACATTCATGTCAAAAATTTAAATCAAAAAACCAACCAAAAAACCCAGCATTAAAAGCCAGGAACGTTTGTCCACTCTTACATTTAGATATGGTTGGGAGATTTATTTCCTTTCCCAACACTTTTATCAAATGCTCTCAAATCATTTTACAAACTAGACATTGGTGTTCCCATTTTGCAGATGGGAAGGAAGGATTAAGGAACTGACCTTTCTGTCCCAGCAAGTTACTGCAAAAGGCGATTAGGGCAGGATTACCCAGCATTTCTGTTCCCACAGTGAGACACTGACACCTGCTATGGTCATTGTTCTTAACTTAAAAGAAATCTGTTGCCCATTACTAATAGTTACATTTCTGAATAAAAACACCTGTGCAAGCAAAAAATGTAGTTAATCTTAATACATCCACATTTTGGAATTAATATTAGGCACCTAACAGTAAAATTCTAGTAAATAAAAAGGATGT